GAGAGAGAGAGAGAGAGAGAGAGAGAGAGAGAGAGAGAGAGAGAGAGAGAGAGAGAGAGAGAGAGAGAGAGAGAGAGAGAGAGAGGAAGAGATTGTGCTGGCATGGAGAAGGAAGCCATAGCTGCGCAAGTGCAGAGTGTTAGTAGTAGACTTTGGAGGGTTAGTAGGCATATCAGTGGGTGTATTCAGAGTAGATCCTTGAGTGGAAGTTAGCGAGTGTGCACTCATGTAGGGAGAGAAGACACAGCGAGGTCATAGCTAGGGAGAAGACCAGCAAGAGAGAGAGAGACATGACAGAGAAGAGCAGTGAGGAAGAGATACTTACCTGAGAGTTCTGCTATTTGCTGGTACCTTTGGTAGGTACTGATGAGCGCTGGTGACTTGAACTCTTATTGCTCTTGTAATAACTTGAACTCTTATTGCTCTTGTAATAACTTGTTGGAATTCATAAGCTGCGCTACCTGGTCTTCATCTCTCTGGCCTCCAGACTGAGTGTGAAATTTGTGTGAACTCATGCATGCATGTCGTGTTATTGTGTGCACTTATTGGTGTTGGACTAACTTAAAGGTGCTCTTTGCACAGTATTTGTAATTTGCCTTTTTTTTAATCTTTTTTTTCAAGTAATCATTGACCCTTTTCGTTCTTTTCTGTGGCAGACCGAAATGAACAAGAACGACYTGGATGCTGTGAAGATGACGGCCACTCCGGACCGGCAGTATTTTGCCTTGACTGTGCCTGATCTAATGGAACGCCGGCCTTCTGTTCGGGTTGCCGACATAGTAGAAGTCACGTATAGTGACACTRTACCCCAACCTGAATCCGGCATGGCGGTCCCTAATTATGGGGTCCTTAATGGGGTCCTTAATCGGGTACACAATGGGGTCCCCGCCGCAGTCATCAAATATCAAGTGAGTGCAATTGTGTGTGGCTATACCCCATCTGTCCCTGTGGTTAAAGAATTGAATGCTTCTTTCGTTGCTTGTTCTCAGATGCTTGCTTCCTATGGGGGCAAGATACAGTTTGCAATTGCACTTCGGACACCCTAACCTGGCCAGAAAGCTGGGTTGTATACATATGAATTGCCCGAACTGCAGTTCAAAACTGTATCTTGGCCCGTAGGGCAATTATAACTCTTTTTTTTCGCGCGTAGTTTCCCCTTGATTTTTTTCTGGAAGCCTTAGGGCATTACTCACACACTAGAACTTTTTCTACTAGGATCTGGATGCGATTGCTGTCGCACTGTCAGATTCATCCAGGTCTGGCCGTGATTGCAGTCAGATACATTTAGGAAAGTGCTGGTGTGAGTATGGCCTTAGGGCCTCTTTCCACACCACTTTAACGTTCAAGAGCAAAGCGAAAAATCTCCTTCCACTCCCCCCCTTAGAGGGACCTGCTTTGTTTTCACTTTTTTGTGTCCCAAGGCTGTGCCCTTGAAACTCAAGGGAGACTCAGCCAAAATTACCCTTGAATTCAAGTCATCTCCCGAAGGTACCTTGAGTTCAAGTGCCAGCGGATACTGCCACCACTCCAAGTGGGGCCTTTTTTTTCTTTTTCTTTTTCTTTTTCAGCAGGCGGTGCAGGATTCTTCAAGCCATGGAGTTGGGTTTCAAGTGCAGCCTGTTCCAGGTTTTCCTCAAGTGTACATGGAACCATAAATCAAGTTGACTTGGGCGCTTATCCTACAATACGCAAAATGAGAAAAAACAAGAAAGTCCCTTGAAAGATGGACACGGGTAGTGCAGGGAGGAAAAGCAAACTGGGACCTCACACAGGCGGGTTCCGCGGGTACTTTCCCAAGTACCRTGCCGGATTTTCTTTGGCTTTCACGGAGATGGACATTCCTGTGGCCCGCCATATGGCCTGCCCTCCAGCGTCGTACAGTCCTCTGCTCCATGGACGGACATTGAAAAGGGYRTCTCATTTTTGYGGCAGCTTTCTCGGTAGGGGTAGGGGTCCTCGACCTTTCCATTTTGTGATGCGTGCYGACGCGCCACATASACATGAACCCAAAACGTACCCCTAACAAAAAGTGGMGCCCTGTGATCATTTCGGAAAGTGGTTGGATCCGCGTTTCTCAGCAAAATGGCCTAACTTAYGGACTGTTGGATCAGAAGACTTACGGACTGTCGGATCAAAAGCTTAATAGTGTAAATTAATCACAATTTCTCGTCTAGTCTACAGTTGAAACTCTCAAGTATTTTCAAGTGGTGTGGAATGAGGCCCTTAGCCAATTTGTTTTTCAAGTATTTTCAAGTGGTGTGGAATGAGGCCCTTAGCCAATTTGTTTTTCGAGGGCTGTACGATGCTGGAGGGCAGGCCATATGGTGGGGACGATTCTATCACTGCGCATGTTGTCACGGTTTCAGTTTGAAAATGCGTTTCAGTCACTATTTCCTTGGTTTTCCTTCTTTTGGGAGAACTGGGGCGTTGTCACGGTTTCAGTTTGAAAATGCGTTTCAGTCACTATTTCGCCCATGTTGTGTTCAACTGAGGAAAATCGTGAATGTATACAACCCAGATCTAGGGTCGGGTGGGGATGTGTTGTATT